TTATATAGTGCTGTCAATTTATGCAGCGCTTTACACATATATATTGTACATTCACATCAGTCCATAACCCTCAAGGGGCGTACAATCTAAGGTCCCTAAATTAAAATAGTAGATATATAGCGAGCGCTCAGAGAAATCAGCAGCTGGAACACTTCACGGAATCATCGGACCTCATAACAGAAATATAGTATATATATAGTGCAGTGCTGTGATGTGATTTAAAATAACATGATTTAAAATAGTTCATCAAGTCTTTAGTCACAATAAAATCAAATATGTGCAGGCCTTCTCCTCATTAGGTGACTGGAAAACAATAAAAAAATAATAAAATAATAATAGGTGGCGTCCATCCTCTGATGAAGTGCATTTGGCACGAAAAGGCCTCAGGAGGAGCCATTAGCAAGTGTGACTTCCTGACCACTGAGACCACGAGGAGGTCCAGTGGTCTCTAATCTTTACCACTGCCGGGTTAGTACCATTTTTTTCTCATACTTACCTGTCCGCTTACTGGCTAATAGTGTATGTATGTATATGTGACCCTGGCTTTATGAGTGTTGCTACAATAAAGTTCTGAACCTACCACACTATTGGCGTTCCCCTTTCTTTCTTTGACTCTCCTGTTGGATGGTTGCAGATCTACACCTTCCATTTTTGGGGTACCTGGAACCACGACTGGGGGGATCCCTGTCTACCTATCATTTGGGGCGAGAGGGTCTCTGGATCTGGAGGTATTGCTACACCCAAGGTTGATGTCAGTGCTTGAGAGGGAGGATCCATATGTGTTCTGGAGCTGCATGCTTGGCTGGTCCTCTGGATAAGATTACACACAGGCGCATTTAAAATGTGCGGTCGGTGAGTGCGCATTTTTATTGTTTTCAGTCACCTAATGAGGAGAAGGCCTGCACATATTTGATAAATCTAAGGTCCCTAACTCACATTCATACATACACATATTAGGGCCAATTTAGACAGGAGCCAATTAACCTACCAGCATGTTTTTGGAGTGTAGGAGGAAACCGGAGCAAACCCACGCAGGCACAGAGAGAACATGCAAACTCCAGGCAGGTGGTGCTGTGGTTGGGATGCAAACCCACAACCCTAGTACTGCCAGGCGGAAGTGCTAACCATTTAGCCACTGTGCTGCCCAGTTTAATAAATTAACCCCAAAGTGTCTGTATAATCTGGGATAAAGGATTGCTATTCTCCACTGCACAATGGGTGAGGAACACACACAAAATAGAAAGTCTATGGCAGTTATTGAGGAATCTTTTGTTTAGGAACTATCCACGGACAGCATCTACTTCCTAAGATGCTGGCTCATATATGACACTGTCTGCACAATTTCTAATGCAGGCCATAGACGGGTCATTTATCGGCCAAATTTTCGTCCGCCGTTAGTGGGCAATACCGTCGGCCGTTTTTTCGTGGATCTTCTCGTTTACTTTTATCGGTAATGCTAGAAAATCCACAAAAAACGGCCGTTTTTCATGGACATTGGTGGCAGCATTGCTGCCAGTAATGACCAATATTTCATTTATCGGTCGAAAATTCGGCCGATAAATGACCCATCTATGGCCTGCCTAACTGTACACTGTATGTCTAGCAATCAGCCCCCTGCTGCATCTTCACAACTTGCTGCCAGTTCACAATTATAATGCTTCAACCTGAAATGATCACTGAGGAAAAGAAGATTTCAGAAATGCCTCCTCCTGCCTGCAAATGGCTGAAAATGTCATATCCGCTTAGGTAAAGTCACTTTCTATAGCTTAAGGGCTGATCTTTAAAGTGTTACTAAACCCAGGACCTGCATTCACTATATCTGATCTCCCACAGTACACACAACATGGAAATGCAATTACAGTATCTCCCAGAAGTTAGCCCACCCCTCACATTTTTGTAAATATTTTTATTCTATCTTTTCATGTGACAACACTGAAAAAAATGACACTTTGCTACAATGTAAAGTAGTGAGTGTACAGCTTGTATAACAGTGTAAATTTGCTGTCCCCTCAAAATAACTCAACACACAGCCATTAACCACTTGCCTACCAGGCACTTATACCCCTTCCTTACCAGGCCAATTTTCAGCTTTCAGCGCTGCCGCACTTTGATTGACAATTGCGCGGTCATGCAACATTGTACCCATATGAAATTTTGATCATTTTTTTCTCACAAATAGAGCTTTCTTTTGGTGGTATTTAATCGCCACTGGGCGCTTTACTTTTTGCGCTATAAATTAAAAAAGTGCAAAAAAATTTGAAAAAAAAAAAAAAAAGTTTCTTTGTTTCTATTCTAAAATTTTTCAAACAGGTATTTTTTCTCCTTCACTGATGTGCGTTGATGAGGCAGCACTGATGGGCACTGATAGGCGGCACTGATGGGCACTGATAGGCAGCACTAAAGGGCACTGATAGGCAGTACTAATGAGGTGGCACGGATAGGCGGCACTGATAGGCAGCACTAATGAGGTGTCACGGATAGGCGGCACTGATATGCAGCACTGATAGGCGGCACTGATAGGTGACACTGATGATGGGTACTGATAGATGGCACTGACTGGCATCACTGCTGGGCACTGACTGGCGGCACTGACTGGCACAACCGCTGGGCACTGACTGGTGGCACTGACTGGCAGCACTGCTGGGCTGCACTGGTGGGTGGCACTGGTGGGCAGCACTGGTGGGTGGGCACAGGTGGGTGGCACTGGTGGGCACAGGTGGGTGGCACTGGTGGGCACAGGTGGGTGGGCACAGGTGGGTGTCACTGCTGGGCACAGGTAGGTGGCACTTCTGGGCACAGGTGTGTGACACTGCAGAGTGACACAGGTGGGTTTTTGCACTGCTGGGCACAGGTGGGTGCACTGCTGGGCACAGGTGGGCGGAGCTAGTGGGCGCACTGCTGGGCACAGGTGGGCGGAAACTTGCGGGTGGCACTGCTGGGCACCGATCATCAGGGCACTGATCATCAGTGGCCCTGATGATCGGTGCCGATCCTCGCTCTGACAACTGCCGGTTCTCGGCAGTACTTTCCTCACGATCTGACAGCGTGAGGAAAGTGCAGCCGAGAACCGGCACTTGCATTTCCCTGTGATCAGCGTGTCATTGGACACCGCTGATCACATGGTAAAAGGCCGGTATGATTGGCCTTTTACCACATCTCGTGATCAGCTGTGTCCGTAGGACACAGCGATCACGGAGATCGCCGGGGTGCGCGCCCCCTGGGGCGCGCAGGAGAGCGCGTTCTGGGGGGACGTCATATGATGTCCACCCAGAACTGGCCGGCCGCAGTGAAGCCGTCATTCGGCTATCTGCGGTCGGCAACTAGTTAATGTCTAAACCGCTGGCAACAAAAGTGAATACACCCCTAAGTGAAAATGTCCAAACTGGGCCCAAGGTGTCAATATTTTGAGTGGCCACCATTATTTTCCAGCACTGCCTTAAGCCTCTTGGGCATGGAGTTCAGCAGAGCTTCACAGGTTACCATTGGAGTCCTCTTCCACTCCTCCATGATGACATCACAGAGCTGGTGGATGTTAGAGACCTTGCACTCCTCCACCTCCACAGATGCTCAATAGGGTTTAGGTCTGGAGACATGCTTGGCCAGTCCATCACCTTTACCCTCAGCTTCTTTAGCAAGGCAGTGGTCATCTTAGAGGTGTGTTTGGGGTCGTTATCATGTTGGAATACTGCCCTGCTGCCCCAGTCTCTGAAGGGAGGGGATCATGCTCTGCTTCAGTATATCACAGTACATGTTGGCATTCATGGTTCCCTCAATGAACTGTAGCTCCCCAGTGCTGGCAGCACTCATGGAGCCCCAGACCATGACATTCCCACCACCATGCTTGACTGTAGCCAAGACACACTTGTCTTTGTACTCCTCACCTGGTTGCCACCACACACGCTTGACACAATCTGACCCAAATAGGTTTATCTTGGTCTCATCTGACCACAGGACATGGTTCCAGTAATCCATGTCCTTAGTCTGCTTGTCTTCAGCAAACTGTGCGGGCTTTCTTGTGCATCATCTTTAGAAGAGGCTTCCTTCTGGAACAACAGCCATGCAGACCAATTTGATGCAGTGTGCGGGTGTATGGTCTGAGCACTGACAGGCTGACCCCCCACCCCTTCAACCTCTGCAGCAATGCTTGCAGCACTCATACATCTATTTCCCAACGACAACCTCTGGATATGATGCTGAGCATGTGCACTCAACTTCTTTGGTCGAGCATAGCAAGGCCTGTTCTAAGTGGAACCTGTCCTGTTAAACCGCTGTATAGTCTCATTAGCTAGTACATGAATATCCCTATTCTTTATTGCAAAGTCTGCTGGAAAAGGTATATACCAGTGTGCAGAAGGTCCTTCTGAATTTATAGTGTTAATATGTGGTTACACCCCTTTAGCACCTGATAGATAAATGCATGTACTAGCTATTGGGATTTGAGCCCTACAAAAACTGTAGCTGCTGACTTTTGACAGCTTGCCTACAGGGCAGTTATACCCCCTTCCTGCCCAGGCCAATTTCCAGCTCTCAGCGCTGTCACACTTTGAATGACAATTGCGCGGTCATGCAACACTGTATCCATATGAAATTTTTATCATTTTTTTGTGGCAGACAGAGCTTTCTTTTGGTGGTATTTAATCACCTCGGGTTTTTATTTTTTTCTTAAAAACAAAAAGTATGAAAAAAAAAGTTTTTTCTTAGTTTTTGTTGTAAAATTTTGTAAATAAGTGTTTTTTCTCCTTCACTGATGTGCGCTAATGAGGCTGCAGTGATGGGCATTGATAGGCTGCACTGATGGACACTGATAAGTGGCACTGATGGGCACTGATGAGGAGGCAGTGGTAGGTGGCACTGATGGGCATTGACAGGGATCACTGATGGGCACTGAAAAGCAGCACTGATAGGCGGCTCTGATAGGCAGCACTGACTGGCACTGTTAGGTGGCACTGACGGGCACTGTTAGGTGGCACTGATGCACACTGATAGGCGGCACTAACTGGCACTGATAGGTGACACTGTTAGGTGGCACTGATTGACATTGATAGGTGGCACTGACTGGCACTGATGGGTGACACTGAAAGGCAGCTCAGATGGGCACTATGTGGCATTTATGTGCATTGGTAGGCACTGATATGTGGCATTGATGTGGCACTGATGGGCACTGGCATGTGGCACTGTTCAGCACTGACAGCTGGCACTGATGGACACTGACAGGTGGCACTTCTGGGGCCACACTGATCATCAGGGCACACTGCTCGTCAGTGCCATGATAATCAGTGTACATGTCCCCTCTGCGGAATGCCGAATACCGGCTCTGCTCTCCTCTCGAGCTGTCAGCTGTGACAGCTCGTAAGGAGAGAAATGCCGATAACCGGCATTTCCCTGTTTCCATGTGATCAGCTGTTATTGGACACAGCTGATCACATGACCGAGCCAACATTTTCGGCTCTTTCCGTAGTTCGGAACGAGAGAACCATCTTGCGCCCGTCATTGGACTATATGGCGGGCGGGAGGTGGTTAAAATACAGCCTGTCACATACCTGGATAGTGAGCCTGATGTGAAGAGGCAGGGCTCCTGTACAACTCCGGCTCAAGGACCGCTGATGGAGGAACAGCAGCCACAGGGGCACGGTGTGGTATGAGTGCCTGTGATCAGTCCCGTAGTAGTTGGTAGGCAGGTGAGCTGCAGGGCAGGCTGAAGGCAGAGAGCAGGATCCGGATGCAGCCGTGCTGGATGGATGGATCACTGAGGAGTGCATATTGAGGATGCAGGGTCAGACAAGCCTGGTTCAGTAGCGGTCGGGCAGATCAGGCATAAACGGCAGGAGGAAGAGTAGTCGGGTCACAGGCCAGGTCAGCAGCGGAAGATCAATCAGGTAGGAGCAGAGACAGAAGGGTAATCCAAGGCAAGCCAGAGGTCAGGGCAGGTAGCGGTCAAACGGAGGTCAGGAACAAGCTGGTTCGGTATCAGGAGTCAATCACATGAATCAGAGAACACAAGCAGGGATAAGACCAAACGGATAGATTTACTGCACTCAGTTTAAATAGCCCTTTTGGCGCCAGCACTAGTGACAGGCCCATGCACCCGCACATCTGCCCAGCTCGTAATAACTCTGCGCATGCTCATATTTGAGGGGGCTGGACTGTGGCCAGTGAAAGTATAAAATGCCTTGGCTTCATTCTTAGATTGTAAGCTCCAAAGAGCAGGGTCCTCCTAACCCTCTTGTATTGAACTGGTATCATTGCTGTATTGTCTCCCTTTATATTGTAAAGCTCTGAGGAAACTGTTTGCACTATATAAATCCTGTACAATAATAATAAACAATGGTCCATCATTGGCATTAGTGGGAGGAATATTGTCCCATTGTTGAGACCAGGGGAAGAAATAGTGCCCAATTGTTGGTGTCATTGGGAAGAATAGTGCCCTGCCATTGGTGTCATTGGCAGGAATAGTGTCCCATTGTTGGGGTCATTGGTAGGAATAGTGCCTTATTGTTGGTATCAGCGACAGGGATTATGCCCTGTTGGTGATGTCAGTGGTAGGAATAGTGTCCAAAGGGCCAGATAGAAGCAAGTGAAGGGCCACATCCAGCCCCCGGGCCGCAGTTTGGAGACCACTGCTATATGAGATCAAATGTGAGATAGATTTTAATCTCCCTTTTGGGGTTCCTGCCCACCTTTTTGTGCTCCAGTTCTTCCTCCTGCATTCTCCATAATATAAAAAAAGATTAGTTAGAGATAATTTACACCTCCTAATAATCATAGCAGGTGGGCATATAAAGGAATTCCCACCACTTGAGTCACTACAAGATATTAGAAACTATCAGTTGTTTAACTTTGTAGAATCCAACAAAAACTGCAATAATATCTCGAGCTTGTCCTATCTCTTCTCCCCTAAAACCTCTTTGTCTCTATCTTTGCAGCATACGTTGAAAGTCTCTTCTAAGACATCCTGGCTTCCCTCACCTCCACCCTCACCTAACCTCTCATGACCTAGCTACTGCCCAGTACAACAAACACACCCTCCTTTGCTCTGAATAGGGTGGCTTCTGCCAAATTATGCTCTCCTCCCAGCCTTGGTCCTCATTACACTCATTTCCGCAAAGCACTACATGCATGGCTGAACTAAACAGGAGACAATGTGGCCTAAATAGGATAGGGATTTCCTCAAATGTAAAGCAAAACTTCACGATTTAAACTCTGCCCTTATTGTATCTATGTCAAATAATATGCTACACTCATTAACTCCCCAGCCTATTATCGTCAACACATCTTTCCCACAACGACTCCCTACTAAACACAATATCCCCTTACAACATGGTCCAGTTTTTTTGGCAATGTGCCAAATAGTTAACTGTTGGGGGGAATTATCTCTGCCAGAAAATCAAAATGTGTACACTCCTACATGTGTATTTGTACATAGGTCTTATCCAAGTTACAGCATATACATTTCATTTGTTTATTATTCATCTTAAGTCAGTGGCTTTTTGTTGGCCAAAATGCTGGCTTTGCCTGTGAAGGAATTTATTTACAACTTTAAATTATGCATACCACCCTGTCTTGTTAAATGCTAATCCAGAGGAATTAGGTGTACTATAGTAGACAGTGTCCCTGAATCCATCCAATTACAGTATATTGTCAGAATGCTTTGTGTTCCTGGAGTTGAAACTTTTGAGCTTAATTTACACCAACAAACATAACTTCACATGCCATGCCTTGAACATGTTCATGTTGATAGGAATCAGATTTTTCTTACAAAAGATGCTGATCACTGGCTGGTCCAGTATAACAAGGTCCTAGACTGACAGGTGGTGGGCAGCAGTGTAGCCAACTGTCAGTATTTTTACCAGCAGCCAGTAAAAAAAGGGCACTTTTTTTCTGTCAGTAAATGCCAGTGACAGGAAAAGATTGCCAGTTAAAAATATGGCTGTGACTCTCGGCTTGGATCTGCAAATGCGCAGTTCTGGTCCAGGACCAGCTGAGACCGTCCGAGTGCCTGCTACAGTGTAGTGCCTACATGGGGGGGCAATGACAGAGGCAGTGCCTGAGCATGTCTTGTGATGTCATAGTTCAAGGGAGCTGACGGAGTCTCGTGTGCGGGTGTGAGAGGGGGGAAAACAGCTTTCATTGTTTGAACACTGTTTGTGTGCAGTAAATTATGCTATGGAGTAAATTGATGTTTTGATTGACATTCTGCGGTTTAGCCACAAGATGTCACTGTTTTTCTAACACAGCCTCAGACTGCATAGATATTTGTATATTCATGAAGAGGTGGGGTTTTCACACAGAGTTGGAGTGAACAGGAAGAGGAGACTGCACCATGTTTGGACGATGCTGAATGCAGGGGCCGTGTGAGCTGAGAGTCCGATGACATCCAGGTGTGAAAGCGTCCCTCACTAACCAGAGATTGCTGCCAGGAAGGCTGATGAGAAGCAACATTTGTTCTGTTCAGAGTCACCAGCGGATGCAAAGCAGACCCGGGTCGGTAAGATCGTGCACGCACCTCATTTCAGTGTTGGCGCCCAGAGACTGAGTCCAGGCCAATAGTTAGTTAGGGTCTCTGTTTGTGTCAGGCCGCAAGTGCTGTTACTGATTATTGGAAGGACTCCACCACTTAAAGTGACATTTCACATTGGAGAACTGATAAAATCCTACAAACTCAAGCCAGACTGGCGTTTTGCTCAGAAGGATTAATCAGGCACGTGCTACAGGACCAGTTATGGGAGGGGGAATACTGTAGATTTGTGTAAGATTGTAAGCTGTTGTGCTGCACCGCAGGCTAGCCCATACCATACACCCATACACTAATTCCTGCTCTTTTAGGGTAATAACAGGTAAGGTGTGGCAGCTTATTTGTGCCCGCCAGTAGGTAAATTACTTCACTTTCTACCTTCATCCATCAGAAGGCTCTGTGCTGTGCACCACAAGGGTCTCAGCCTTTGGGCTGGATGTATGTAAATTTATTGAATGTTCCCAGCATTTGTGGTTGTGTTTATTTGCCACATCTAAGTAAAATTCTGTTGTGGCAAAAGCTGGTGTTGGGGTTGCTTTCCTCCTTCATGACTTCACTGTATCCTGGGGAGCCCACCCCAGTACACGGCTTACACAGGTGCAAGTCAAGCCGGGAGCAGGACTGTCAGTGCTGTTTGGACTGGAGTGGACTGAACGGGCCATCTGGCATGGAGAGAAACTGTCACTGTGACTCAGGAGGGGATGTGTCATGTTTGTCAGGTGACGTCATCTGTGTTGCTGCACATTGCTGTCAATTTCATGTGTGTGTGCCTGCCCATTCTAATTTCTTACCCTCCTGAGTTCTGTCCCAGAGCTACTTACTATATCGAAAATAAAATAAATATATTTTTTGTCTTAATATCTACCTTAAATCACATTGCTAATTGCATATTGTACTTGTTTGTAGCCTAAATACTGAAATTGGCACTTAAAACTAATTTTTTAACTTTTTAAACGCCAGTAAAAACTTGGGTGTGCCAGTAAAATGTGGGTGTCGTGTCAGTGAATTTTAATCTGGTAGGTTCGCAACCATGGTGGGCACTAATGTTTTCAGGGCCAACAAACCTTAAAGCAGGGATCTCCAAACTGTGGCCTGCGGATCAGATGTGGCCCTTTCCTTGCTTTTATTCGGCCCTTGGGGCAACTTTTCCTTCCACTGATACAAAGCACTATCTCTTCCATTGACACCACTGATGGGACACTATTCCTCCCACTGACACCAATGATGGGGCACTATTCCTCCCACTGACCCTGACGGAACACTGTTCCTCCCACTGACCCCAGCGATGGGGTACTGTTCCTCCCACTGATCCCAACAATGGGGTACTGTTCCTCCCACTGATACTAGAAATGGGAAAATAATTATGCCACTTGAACCAATGATGGGGCACTGTTCCTCCCACTGACCACCAAGCCTAGGTTATTGTTTATTCCCACTGATACCAGGGCATTTTCTACTTCCACTGGCCACAATCCAGCTCCCCTAAAGTTTGAGTGGCAGAAACTGGCCCTTTGTTTTAAAAGTTTGGAGTCCACTGCCTTAGAGTAATGAGCACCACTGGGATGACATCACTGCTCTAAGCAGTGACAATGTAGGGCCTGCACAGACAGGCACACTCGCTGGAGCTTTTTAATTCTGTGGCTGCTTGGAAAAAGATTTTTTAAAAAGTATATCCTTTGAAATTTTCTTTAACATGTAGGCTGTATCAGAGCAATGGGGAGGCAAGATTGGCAGCACAGTGGCTAATTGGTTAGCACTTCCGCCTGGCAGTACAAGGGACGTTGGTTCGAATCCCAGCCACGGCACCTCCTGCCTGGAGTTTGCATGTTCTCCCTGTGCCTGCGTGGGTATCCCCCGGGTACTCCGGTCCCACACTCCAAAGACATGCTGGTAGGTTAATTGGATCCTGTCTAAATTGTCCCTAGTATATGTATGTATGAATGTAAGTTAGGGACCTTTAG